CCATCCCCGGCCCGCGCTGGGGGGCTGCGCTGCCGCCGCCGGGGAGCAGTGCTCGCGGGTCCGCGGGGCGCCGCCAATCCTCGCTGCGCTTCCGGCGGAGAGGTGGAGGTCTCCCTGAAACAGGCTACACCGGGCGCTCGCTGGCCAGTTCTCCTCCGAGAAGGTCCCAGCAGAAGCAGGTCAATCCAAACCCCAAAATCCAAGCGGTCCTCCGGGTCGCGTCGGCCGGTCCGGGCACCTTCCAGGGGTGGGGGCGGCGATGCGGGCCTGGCGCGGGGGGTGGTCCGGAAGGATGACCCGGAGGAGGGGGCGCTGCTCCCTGGCCGGCCGCGCTCGGTGCCGTCTGCGCTCGGGCCGCGCTGGCCCGCGTCCCCTCCCTTAGCAACAGCCGCCGCCGCCGCCGCAGCTGCTCGGAAGATCTGGGGGTGAAAGTAACAAGAAAAAAAAGTTATAATGTATCAACGTTCGAAGGGGCGGGGCTGCCGCCCCCTCCCATTCACTACTTACTCCGCCGGCCGCGCGCCGACCAATCACCGCCCTACCGGCCTCGCGCCATGGCCAATCAGCACCGCCCGGGCGCTCCCCCACGTGGCAGGTAGACCCGCCCTCGCCCCGCCCCCGGCGCCCGGGAGACCAAGGAGAGAGCAGCGGGGGCGGGGCTGGCGCCGCTGCGGGCCGCCCCCGCGACCCCCCGCCCCCTGGGCCATTCATAAGGGCCGGCGCCCGCAACAAAAGGCCGTCCGGGCCCCGGGCTTGGGACCCTCGACGCCCGTCGGGCGCCCCTCCGCTAGGAGGGCAGGGGCGTGGGGAGGGACGCGGGCCATTGTTTGTGCGCCCGCCCGAGGGGGGGCAGGAAGTCGCGGGGCCGCCCCGGCGCGTCGGTCCGGGAAGCAGGGACGAGCGGAAGCGAGTGCGGACCCCGCGCCTCGTGGCTGGGGGCTCGCGGGGACACGGCCGGGCCCAGGCCCCCTCCCCACGGGGCGATGTAGAGGGCGGGGCGCAGGGCGGGCCCTGGCTCCCGATGACGTGGCCCGGGCCGAAGGCCCCTCCCGGGCCGGTGCCACCTCGAAC